AGACCGGCAGGGGAGTGATTTGCATATGGCACCACGATGGCTAATGCGCACAGGTGCTTGAATGATTCAAAAAAGAAGGTTCCTCAGATGGCGAACGGGGGGGTTTCCCGGCGAATTAGAGGCCATTTGTGCTGGCAGCATACACGCAATGCCGTACTGGGAAAATGAGTGATTGATTTTTATCAATCGCGTGAATGTGACATTTATCGTCTTTTTTTTCTTTTTTATTTTAACGGAGCATCAAGCTGTCTCCTAGTTCTTCTGACTTCACACTGTAAGCGTCTTGTGGAGTTTAATGATGCAACAAGAGGGAGGTTTTTTTTTGGGGGGGGGGGGATTATTTTTCTGTTAACCAGCTCGATCAAAGGGAATCTTTTAATGCACGCTTCCAAGTTCTCAGCATGCATCGGCCTGTGATGGGCTTGCACGGACACGAAAATGTTTAGTGTGCAACATCAACATGATGTTATATTTGAATTTGGAAAAAACAAAAAAAATTACGGTTTGACAGCCATCGTTGGTGCCAGTTTCTTATTAACCCTGTCATGCACCCTGACAAGCTGTCCACTGTTGTAACCGTTGTCCCCGAAAGTCAAAAATTGGCCCAGAATTGTTCAATGGGTTCGACTATATCAGTCAAAACTTTTTCGTTGGTGTTGGTCGATTGGTTCTTTGGTAAATTTGCAATTCATGACTTTGCTAGTTAGCATCCGTACAGCTTCCTCGTTGGTTAGCGCATGTGCGAGAGAAGATTGTATGTACTGTCACTCCGTATTTTGAAATACTTAATATACTTTTTGTTACCAATAACTGTTCAACAAGTGTTACAAATTACGCTTTTGTTTCATGGACAGTCAAGTATTAGTACTGTCAGGGGGGATTGTTGGGGGTATTTATTGGTAGTCCTAGCGGAATGCTGCGTTATGCTACATTAAGCCTCGTTAGTCGCATGTTTTCTCCCTCGAGCCAAAATGAGCGAGGATTCAGTAGCAAGCGTCCAGATTATTGGAACGAGAGTCGAAAAACAGGGTCAGTTGCCCTTCAACCTTTGCGCAGCGGGTTAATGATCTGCCATTGTGGCCGTGTGCGCTTGTTTGTGCTGCACAAGCAGTGCCAAATCACGGTGAGCCAACCTCGAGCTTGGCCTTTTCCCGAGAGAACCAGAAGTGGACCTCACTCGGTGTTGGCCACCAGGTCGGGCTCCTTTCTGGGGCCGGATCGGACTTGAATGTACTTAAACCCGGTGTGGCGTTGGTGCCGAGCAACTTGGCACCTTTTTAGAGTGTAGCCAATTAGCTTGTCTGAAATAGCAGCGGATCCAAATCGCTGTGGTCAACCTGGAGAATCCTGAGCCGGTAATCCAATTAGCGCCAACGTGTCGGCACGCCGACTGTGAACCCGTTAACACGCAGAAGCGTTTAGCTGCGCCAGCTTTCAATTTGAGTCTTGCGATTCATTTTCAAATATTTGAGTCACGGTTTGCTAGATTTGCCTAACTTAGGTTTTTCTCGACAGATGACCTGAATGAGTCGAAAATGACTTGAGTCAAACTGTCGCCTAAACGAAGCTTTTGGGACATGTACAGGCAATGTTGAAAAAGATTTGGCAAGAACAGTATAGTCTGGTGCGAGCAGTGTGATTTAAAAAAAAAAAAAAAAAAAAATGCGCTATGCTAAAATGGCTCCTCTGAACCCCTTGAAGAGTGCAAGTGGTTCAAACTTTGTTTTACTCAATATAAGTCATACTTTTGGTGACATTTTTCTCCAAATTGTCCAAATTCTGGTATTGAATTATTGACCAGGATAACGGGAAAGCCACACAATTGACTTGGCTCGTAAAATTTTATTGTGGGTCGGGTGCTTGAGCCAAAAATGACCTTAAAATACGATCTCGATGACATCCGTTGTTGGTTCTGCCTCTTCCCTGCATTTTTTTAAATTTTATTTTTTTTTGTAACATCACTGTCCCTGCGACAGGAAGTGCGCGAGCCTGCTAGTCAACATTTTGATGCTTATCAGTTGGGCCGCGGCGGAGGCCCCCCCCCCCCCCCCCCCTTTTCTCTGTTGCGCTTTTGAACAGAGGAATTTCTGTGTAGGTGTCTGCCAGCTGTATTTTGGCTTCGAGCTGTCACCCTTCAGAATATCCTCGGCTAATTTGCGGACGTGCTCCGTACGTGGCGGCTGAAGCGATCCCGAGGGAGCTCGCCGCTCTCGACCCTCCTCCTCGTGTTGAGGAGCTGTAATTAGCAGCCTCGCTAGCTTTAATTAACGGGCTTAAGATGGGAGGACACCATCTCTGGCTGCTTAGCTGACATGTGGGGGAGACATTCGCCCCCATTCGATGCATATCAAATAAAGACGGTTTTAACGTGCGCAATCATCGCCGCTGGACACAATATGTCCACATTTGGTCAATTGCATCCTTTTTCACAAATCAAGACTTTTGCCCAATCCGCACCTGGAGCTATTATGTTTTTTTTTTTTTTTTTTTAAACAAATGAGTGGCCAAAGTCAAGTTTTGAAAATGCCTTGGCCCTCTTACGATGCGACGTTAACGGCTCAACAGAAATGAAATTTTCCCATGGGCTTACATCTTTGAGGAAGCAAGACTCGCTCGCACAGTTCTCCAAATTATACGCTGAGTGTGCTTGCTTCGAGATGCTTATTTGTTACTTCCACTTAGTTCACTGTAAAAGTGACACATAAAACAAGAAACTGAAACGTGGAATATTTAAATGTCAAACTATTTACTTAAACCATATGATTTTGTTTAAAAAAAAAAAGTTTGCTAGCGTAATGCTAACATACAATGTCGAATGCCATAGGCGTCGAACAAAAATTCTGATTATTACGGGAATATAAACCTTCAAATACATACACACACACAACACCAAAAAAATCACAACTACGATATATTGGGGCTTCATTGTAAATATGTCTCCGCATATAGCGAGATAACAATCAGCGAACGGGGATGGGTGTTAGCTGTTAGCGCCTCTCCTTGGCGTGTGAAATCAGAGCCCATTCAGCCGACATGATGCAAGGAATTTTTGCGCCGGTGGGACCAATCTTTTTTCTTCTTCTTCTCCGTCAAACGTGTGCTTTACTGATGAGCCGTGGGATTGCGTTGATTCATGTGATTTTTTTTTTTTTTTTTAAACTAATGATTCTGCGAGATAATGAGCAGACATGCCTTAGCATCATGTTAATTTTCTATTTGAAACAACCAATTTTGCATCAGTTAATGTCATTCAAAAACGAAACGAGCCAACTTTCAGTGGTGGGACTTGTACATATATTGTATGTGTTTTGTCTCCATTTGAGTGTTTGTTAATTTTGCCCCCTTATTTATATATAGTTTAAAAAAATTAACCTTGAATCTTGACATTATAATCCATTATTGTTGTTCAGTAGGCCCTCTGCAAAGTGTCATCCATAATAAGGATGGGCGACAACTGATAGCAGCTATCGGTATCGGGCGTTACCAGCCTTTTTTTCAAGATAATGAGCTCGCAAAGGCTGCCGATACAAGTACACTAATGTATTTTAGCACATTATTATCCTGGCTTCATACCTTTCCGTTCTCTTCAAATCACTTCATCGAAGTGCTGAGAATGGATATTTCCCCGCATCATCCCATCAATCGTTTGAGTCGTCGCATACAAATCGATTTTTGCATCATACCAATGCAAAATGCGCACGTACCAAATACAAACGACGCAAATGGTGATTGTATTCCGGGCGCTTGACTTGCTGTGTGCTGTTGACAAACACTTCCTTGTGGTTTACTATGTCGCTTTATGAAATTTTGAAGTGGGGGCCTCGTAAGCGTGTCATCTAGCGATATTATTGTCGGCGAAGCTCTCCTGAGCGCCTCCTTATCTTGGCTTGTGCAGCCACCGTGTGACAGGTGAGGAGCTAGCCGAGCTGAAAATGAGATTTTCTAAGCCGCTTGGCCGCCTGATTGACTGACTGTCTGACTGCCTGGCTGACTCATTCACCAACCGATTCACTGACTGAGCAGGTGTCTGACCGATAGAAGGACCCGCGGGTCCGACCGGTGTCTCGCCCTGGCCAGTTCATTAACAGCCACTGTAACAAGTTGTTTGCGACCGGAGTAGGAGGCGAAGGAGGAGGCTTGAAGGCTTTTAGCGCATGGACGCTGTTCAAACCGAGATTCGTGCGCGAGAATTTTCGAGTCCCACCAAATAAAGAGATGATTCCTAGCGGGGAATGATGGGCTCGTTGCATTGGAGTTGCGTATGGAGCTGGGTGGTTGCTTGGATTTTTTTTTTTTTCTTGTAATGCCCAGTTCAACTGAATACTCTGCCAGAAATGAAAAGTCGCGTTTGAATTGGCCATTTTGAGGAGAATGTCTTCGATTTATTTATTTTTATTTTTTTTTTAGCTTTGCCACAGAAATAAATCACCTTGATTTGAGCAGTTCTATCAATTTTCGGGATTCATCCCTTCCGGAAAATCAAACTCTCATCGAATCCAAAGTGATACATTTCCATAGGAGAAGTATGTAAAAAGTGTTCCAGACAACCACAAATGTGAAGAAAAAAATACATTTTATAGAGAATATCTGTTGCTTTACGAAAACAGTCAATGTACAAAAAAAAATGAGACAATGTTTTTGATTTGTTGTATACATTAGATTAAAAATAAGCATCTGGAAAATGTCTCTACACGACACAGGAGTAAAATTGTCACAAACGCGGCACAGTTTTTTTTGTCATCAATGGCAAAGCTGTCATGTGCATGCCAGGCCACTAGTTGGCAACCTAACAGACTATAAGCACTTAGATTGTTATACATTTATCCTGAAAATTTTTTTTTAAATTGTATTATTTAGTGTGTAACATCCAGATTTTTTTTTCTGTTCCAAAATCCTCAGATGTCAAATGGGCCCCCCCCCCCCCAAAAAATCTCTGCACATATCTTCAACTCATGCCTCCGTTGTCTGTGTCTCCCCCCTTCTCCCCCTTTTCCTGACAGATGATGAAACACGCGTGGGACAGCTACCGACGCTACGCCTGGGGTTCCAATGAGCTCCGGCCCATCTCCAAGCAAGGCCACTCCAGCAACCTGTTTGGTCAGTGCACACACACACCCACACAACAAACACACAGTCAGGATTGCTTTGCCGTCACTGGCACCGGCCACCTTGGCCTTTAGATTAGCTCTCATTGGTTGTCATTTGGAACCATCCATCTATGGCCGCCGTTAAATGTCAGACTTATCATATATTCATATTTTGCGGGGGGGGTGTGAGCTGTCGACGCCTGGCTAATGAGCAGTGCGTGTGTGTGTGTCAGTTGGTCAGTCTTTAGGTCTTTTAGTCTTTGAGTCTCTCTAAAACTAGAAAGACTGAGTCGGTCTGTCGCTCGGCTGGTCCATCTGTCTCGCCGTCTGTCTAAAAAAGAATGTTCATCAGAGCTCTTTCATTCGGTCTGTCGAGTTATTGGACTGTTGGTCTAGTCAGTCGGTCTGTCTGCGAGTCTTTCGGTCGGTCTGTTGGACTGTCGGCCCGTCCGTTGATATTGTCGGTCAGTCGTTCAGTCTGTTTCAAAAAACACACACACAAACAAAACAATTGCCTTTCTGTTGGTCAGTCTGTTGGCCTGTCTGGGCTTTATTATTATTATTATTATTACTTTTTGTCTATCCTTCTGTCAGTTGCTTTTCCAAAGAAAGACTGTCCGTTGTTCTGTTGATCTATCAAAAAGGCTCTCAGCTCTTGTCTGTGCGTTTTCATTTCCCGTTTCCCAACGACAATGGAATGTCATGTGCATTGATGGGGCTAACTGAGAGGCACACACCTCTAGCTCAAATATTGTTTGACACTGTTAAAGAATCATATTAATAGCAGGGGTGGAGTTTGTTCAAAGCATTTGATTCATGCGCCCTCCTTGCCGTCAGTTGTCGGATTGCGCTTTTCATCCCGCGTTGAAACTCCTCTCGCGGCTGCGTGCGCGGCATTTTGTGGCTTGTCAGCAGGCTTCTATAAATACACTTTGAACACCCTCAACGCGCCACAAATGAGGCACAATTGTCTCTTGGGATGTTGCGCTATAGATTATTGTCTGTGTAACTGGTGTACGGTAACGTGGCCGCCATCCCGACAAGCGCAATAATCAACATGCAGAGGAATGGGGAGGGGGGGGAAAGTGAAGTTAAAAACTTATTAAAAAAAATATTGAGAAAAATGTGTGGCACAAAAATGCAAAAAGACAATAAAAACATATATATAATATTGTTGTTGTTGGTAAACAAAGTGCAACTGCATCATCTATTAAACATCTCCCGGCTCTTTATTTTATTTATAAATTTTTTTTCAGAACAAATCCAAGCCATGCTGTAATATTTCCTGCATTGTCCTGTCGTTTGTTGACGCCTAAAGGACGTGCAGGAGAATGATGGGAATCCTTCCCTCGATTCGTCAGACACCCAGAGGCATTTTATGTGTTTATTTTTTGACCCACCCTTCTTTCTCTCGCCTTGGTGAACATGTCACAGCGGCTATGTTTTTTGTTTTTTGGGTTTTTTTTCCCGCCAAAGGTCTTTGGGGTGGAGTCGCTCGCCGCTGCGAAACAAAACAGCAACCTCGTGTCGATGAATCTGATTCATTTCTCATCCGCCTTAACCGCGGAGCTGCGAGGCTGCAAGGTCAAAACGTGGAGTAAGGCAAATGTGGCGCGTTTTAGCTGCGTTGACGAAAATGTGCAACGCAAATATGCAAATTCATCTGTGGTGAGGAAAAAAAAATAATTAAAAAGTCAGAGATTCTTCAAAAGGTGGGGGGGGGGGGATCCAAGCCTCAAGGTGTAATTCAAAAGCATCCTTCAAATGGAGATTTTGAAAAATTGTGATAACACGATTTATTCCCCTTTGCAATACATTCCAGCTTCACCTACAAAAAAACATTTGTGTTTCTAATCTGAAAAATGGCATACCATAATGTTGTGCTTTTTAAAAACATACAGTAATGACAAAGAATAAGGCAGTTTTTGTCACACTTTGCTTCAATTCAATGGACGTGTTGCTCCGTCATTCGACACATTAGTCTTCGCAGAGGATAAAGAATATATGATCGAGAGTATGCATAGATGCTATTCGTTAGCCCATGTCTATTTCCCGTTATGTGTTAGCAGGATAGCAGGTAACGTACGTATTCCACTGGCGTCCGCATACGCAGCAATTGGTCTCTTAGTCAGCGGTGGCCAATGTAGTTGTCAAGTTGACGTCAGTAAACAAGTCAAACGTCATTTTTGGATGTCAGTGTTTGAGATGGCACGCTCGTGTGTACCTCTGCTGCTTCCAGCGGAAAATCCTTCATCATCGTTTTTTTTTTAATCTCATCCTCAGAGACACATGCACACACATAATCATCCAATGTTGGAGAAAACATTTTTTCCCCCCTCCAGTATACCCAAACAAGTCATTTATCGGGTTATGTTATGTGACATTGAATCTGGGGCTGCAGCCTCCGCTCGGCCGCGCCATTGTGCGTCTGAATCCGATATTCAATGCGGGTAATTGAGATAGATGGCGTAATTCCGCCACGGCCTTCCCCTCAGGTTTCCGCGCCAACAGCGACGAGGAGGCTTGAACGAGATGACGGCAACACACAAAACACACACACTCACCGCGTTTATGCCATTATGTACCTTGATTGTGTGCCCACATTAGCCTAATTAATCGACGCGCAAATGAGGTCGGCGGCGATGCGACGTCTTGTTGCTTTTTTTCGAGTAATTGTCCGTGATTAAAAAGAGACGCACGCTTGTTCGCACAGCGCGGTATCGTGTTCGGGACAAGGGATAACGTTCAAACGGGAAGGTTCAGTGTAAAAGATTTATTTCCCCCCCAAAATAGAACCTGTGTGAATGCACTCAATAGGTACGTTAGTAAACGAAATAACAAAATAAACACATTTTCTCTCCTCGGTTTTGAGATCAGAGTGGGATTGAATTCATGTTTACAGTAGCTAGCTAACTAGCTAGCTGCCTCGGCGGTGAGTCGGGAGTATTTTTTTTCACCACTTGCTTCAAAGCTGGCTGCAAACCATTCATTATGTGGGCGTGTTTTGTGTGTTCAGACTTGTTTGCTTATTTAAGGGTTGGAAGACAGCCAAAAAGTCAGCTGCCCTCAATCCTAACTCTGTCAAGTATGCACACACCTTCATGGGATGTTTAAAGGAACATAACACAAGTTTCCCCCCCTGAACTACCTGCACACACCCGAATTTTGGTGTTTGTTTCTGCACCTTTCGAGGTGTGCCCGGCGATGGTCTTGGCCAGGCTTTGAAACCACCTACACCCGTAAAAACTCAACTTTAACCAAAATTTGATAGCTCAAGCCAAAGGGAATTTTGCTTGTTCTTTCAAGGAAGTGCTTAACAGGGTTATTATAGTTTGGGATTTTTTTTTTTTTTCCCATTCTTGCTAGCTAATTATCAGAACAGGTTTGTTAGTTTCTCCCAGGGAGTTTTTTTTCCCCCCCAAAATTGTTTCTTTTAGTTTAGTTTTTATTTGTCTTAGTCCTATTTTGTAATTCTTAAAAAAAAAAGGTCTGTTGTATGCAACCAAAAATATTTAAAAAAACATTTTTAACAATCCACAAATCGCAGCACAGGTCGCCTATTATCTAACAGTCGGCAGAATAACCAAGTTGCCAACTTGCGGAGGAGGTTTGCGGCATCCATTTATTCATATCAGACTGCTAATAAATCCGTTTTAAAAAAGGCCTGTCATAATTTGACAGGGACATACGGTATGTATCTCTTCCAAACCAAACTTGCACTCTCTGCACTCTCGATCCAACCCCGCGTTTCCTTTCAGTGTCAGTTCCACAAAAAAACTGTTGATGCCTGCAGTATGAGGTGGCAAGTGGCGAGGTTAACGCGCCGCTTGCTTTTACGCTTCCTGCCAGCGATCGCTGAACCGTCACTTTCACCCAAAAGCGTCATTGACGACCCCACCCCACCGCCCCAAAAAAATAAATAAATAAACACTCGGAAAGCTGATTTGGGAACGCCAATGAATTGAACACAACGCAGTGCGTCGCTTCTTCTTAATGAGACATTGACTGCTGAGTCAGCACGCCGCACCGGATGCTTTTTATCTATTTTCTTTCTTGTCCGCCAAGGGCTGGAGAGAGGTTAGATGTCTTCATACAACTGCCGTTTGGCAAGTAAGAAAGGGACAATAACAGGAAGTGGAACTGGCACCGTCCAGTTTTGCATCTGTGACTTGCTTCATACCGACTGACTCATTAGGCTGGTTGAGGTTTGTCAGATAGTTCCCGTTTGAATAAATCAGAGGATCAGACAAGACCGGCTTCTTGGTATAAGGGAAAACGGTGTAAGTCAAGAGCATTGCCCATGTTTCGCGAAGATTATATGAAAAAACAAACCCCAAAAAATATTAATCACACAAGACATTAACTCTTTCATGCAAAGGGTTAAATAGTTGCACTTTTCCAGAGCAGTATAACCTCCGTATGGTGTTAACAAAATCCAAGGACAAGTCTTGGAATAAATCTATTCGACGGCACAGTACAAACCACACAATAGAAGGTGAAGGCGGCGGCTCAGCGAAGAGGAAAAAGAAGAAGTCATATCGGGTCATGCGCCGCAAATGCTGAGTGTTTTCAAGATGATCTTTTTTTTTTTTTTTGGAGGGGGAGTGAAGAAGTAGAAAAGGCCATCGCGGATCCATTCACATTTTCGTGTGACGTGCGGTTCTGGGTTTACTTTTGGCATTGTGCGGAGAAAAGGCAATGTTAGAACAAGGGCCAAGACCAACGTTGAGATTGCACTTTATTTTCTCGTGGAGAAAATGCTTTGAGCTTTGTTTGTATACGGATTACGTAAGCGCCGCAGGAATAATTTAATTGTCCCGTGAACCCCTTGTAAATTGCGGGGGACATATTCCAAACCCCCCCCAGCGGGTTAGAGTGAGTGGATTAAAAACAAAATGCCTTTAAGCTTCTTAAAACACTCTTTTTCAAATATTCTTTGGCGTTGACTCTAACGGAAGGATTTAACCGGATGCGCAAAAAGAAAAAAAAAATGTGCACAGAATGGTCAAAAGATGATTGATACATTTAAGTAGATCAAACTAGAACAGTTGAATAGTAAATATTATAAAAGCAAAAACGTGTGGAATTAATTGTTTTTGAAAATTGTACTGACCAGCATTAGTCAACTTTGGGTGGCCCGACATCAGTTACGAAGTTTTGTGTAACCCTGCCGCCGTATATCCGTGACCGCATTTTTTTTTTTTTTATACTAATGCCTTGATGCCTAATTTACTTTCACATCCCTGCCATGAACCGCAGTTGAGTTTCGCAAAAGCTGTAATCGACGCCACCGTCGCAAAGGTCCTCCCGAGATTCTTTTACCCTTCAAGTCAAACGTAACGATTGTTTTTGTCTGTGCGTGTGGGTGTGTTTGTTTCCTTTTTACACGCAACAAAAGTGTTGTCATCCCGAGGTGCACCGGCAAAACAAGCGCTGAATACAAAGACGGCAAGGTGGGGAATTGTAGCTGGCATTGTACTCTCAAAAAAAAAAAAAAAAGGAATAAATCAGCAGAAACACAAAAAAGAAGAAAATCTGTGACCTTGCAAAATCAGCATTGCTACAATTTTGTGTAGAATCATTCAAGCCTTTTGTCAGGGGCAAGAGAGGGAAACACACACACACACACACACACACACACACACACACACACACACACACACACACAAACACAAAAAGAAAAGGACAATATTAGTATTCAGGTCACTGTCTGAGCCATCTGTATCACACTCATGGACACTCAGCGCCAAACAGGAGGAGCATTGAGAGGGAAGGAAAGGGGCGTGACACGACAATAGACATGGAAGGGGGGGAAAAAAAGGCTTTTCGCCTCCAGAGACTTCCACAGAGGTGGAAAGAAGGACGAGTCGCCGGCACGCCGTTGTCGGAACCGAAGCTGGTGATGGCATAATCACGAGGGCACGTCGGGCTCTCACTCATCAGTACATATGTACCGATCCACCACTTGCCATTTTTTTTTGTTTGTTTTTTTTTTTTGGTGCGATAATTTCTTGCTAAGATGGTCCAAGTTGAAAAAGCCAGTGTTATCAAGTGCGATCAACTTTTGACAAATATTTTGAAACTTGTTAGACAGTCTTTGAAAAGTTTCAAATATTTTGATGAAGTTATGCCAAAAATTGGCCTTTTTTTTTTTTTAAACACAATTTTGATCAATTTTATGCAGTTATGACAATTTTGACAACGTTGGGAGAGGTTTTGATGAATTTCAGATGATTGAGGGAAAAGGCAGGGTAGCCTGGTGGTCGAGTGGTTAGCGCGTCAACCTCATGGGTTCGATTCCAGCTCCGGCCTTCCTTTGTGGAGTTTGCATGTTCTCCCCGTGCCTGTGTGGGTTTTCTCCGGGTACTCTGATTTCCTCCCGCATTCCAAAAACATGCATGGCAGGCTGATTAACACTCTAGATCGTCCCTAGGTGTGAGTGTGAGCGCAGATGGTCATTTGTCTCTGCGTGCCCTGTGATTGGCTGGCAACCGGTTCAGGGTGTCCCCCGCCTACTGCCTGAAGACGACTGGGATAGACTCCAATACCACCTGCGACCCTTGTGAGGCAATAGCGGATTGGAAAATGGGTGGATGGATGGATGAGGGAAAAGGCTTGTGATTTTTGTCGACTTTTTCGTAGGCCTATATGAGAAAAATACATTTTAAATTTAACTCATAAAAGTGTATTGAAAAGCTAAAGAAGGAACAAAAAATACCTTTTGATAAATGTTTTCATATTTTATTTACAAATTGTAATTATTTCCAACAATTTTGGGAAAAAAAAACATTTTGGACAGAAAGTTACGCAATTTCTGGTAATGTTGGCACATTTTTGAAATATTTTGACATTATGATTTTCAAACACAGGCAGTTACGATCAATATCTGACACATTTTACAAATGTCAAAAAATGTGGACTGAAAACCATCATTGATTATTTCTATTGCTTTTCATTTCAGTTTTGAATGCAAACGACTTGATTCAGTAATTTGGTTGCATTTTTGTCTTCCAGGAAGCATCAAAGGCGCAACCATCGTGGACGCTTTGGATACGCTCTACATCATGGAAATGTTTGAAGACTTTGACGCCGCCACCGAGTGGGTGGAGAAGAACCTGGACTTCAACGTGGTGAGCCGACTTCACATTTGGTCTTGTCGTTTCCAAATATGAACATTTCCTCAGTGCCGTAAAAGTAGTCTGACAATTTCATCATTTATCATGAGTGAAATGATTAAACGTATCAGTCTCAGCACAATATTGCCAGCGGTAAAACATGTCTGCGATCGTGCTCATGGGAGTTGGCACAAGTCAAAAACATTCGTTATGGCTGCGCAATCGAACGCCAGCCAAAGCAATAACGATTCAAAGGAGTCGTACGTGTGTGCGCAAATGTGTGGGGTCGGGCGTGAGCGTGTGTATGTGAGTGCAAAAGTGATAGCGAGTGATGTTGATTCCATGCGTGTGTGTGTGTTTATTATGCCGATCAAGTAAATAGAGTTAGCAAAAGGTTATGTCCATAATTCACTCAATAAATTCCGGAATCATCGATCTGAGCTGAGCGAAGGCACCTTGAAAAGGCCTCACTTTCATTTACATGCCTAATGAACATCCAACGGCTCCAGACGGCGTTCGGTCCGAGTGTTGTCGTTTTTTTGGGGCGCAAAGCAGGCGAGGAACCGACCGATGCCCGACTGAGCGAGAATGCGAAAGTAGCAAATAATTCACCGCCAGCTCTCAGCGCAAATGAAGACAGAGAACGGCCTCACCTGAATGCTAAACAGAAGCACGCCGCAGTCCGGAGAGCTTTGTTATTTGCTAACCGCCCACTGTGTAATGCGCACTCATAAGAAACCAATGTGAATGGTATTTCCCTGAACAGATAATATTTTTGATTATTGTTGGGACTACAATGACATTGGGCTTCATATTTATTCATTTGGACCCGAGCGCCAAGCCTGGAATCAGTTCTTCTTCAGACAAATTAATTGCATTTTGAGGACGGCGCTCAAAGTGCACCAAAAAAATGAAATTAAATTTACGTTTTGTGTGTTCTGGCGGAAATGATTTTTAGTGTAATTTACATAATCCCTGAAGGTTAAGATGATAAAATAAAATGAGAAAACCTTTATTTGTCTCACAATGGAGAAATTCCCAATTTACAGATAGATAGACAACGGGTATCCTAAATACCTGGAAAACACAAAATTTAAAGGTTTTTATTTTTATTTATTTATTTTTTTTGTGAGCGTAAATGAATCTGCATGTACTTAACTTCGTGGCTGACCTGTTCCTTCTGGACTGAAGTATGATTAACAAAATAGGCATACTCAAGCTAACCTAATTATTTTTACTCGTTCCGCTTGTTCCAGCTGCAACTGTGGTAAAAAGCTATATAAATACTGACATGGAAAAAAAAAAAACAACAACAAAAACACACTGACCTTCAATCTTGAAGAGACATGATGCCACGAGGCTTCCGCAGAGTGACGGAAAACATTTTCAACACCTGTCAGACACATCTGAGCATCGAGGGTAAATACTTTTGCTTGGAAATAAGTCACTACTTTAAATTGGTTACGTTGGTACCGATTTCTGAAGTGATATGGAATCGACCCTATTTAGATAGCGACAGGGTCCATGTTGATATTATTGCAATCCGTGAAGAAAAAGTTTGAGCCCCAGGGAGGAAGAAAAAAAAAACTTTCCCGAAGCTAGGAAAAAAAAAAAATCTAATTTGCTCTTTGTTCCAGTATCTTCTCTACTTTTTGGCTGTGCAATTGTGGAAGAAACCATTTCGTATAGTTTTGTTTTGTTTTGTTTAGCGAGGGATTAATTAGCTGCACAATCCAACTTTGCAATCAGCAACTCTGGGAGAAAACATTTAAATTGTTGGCACAGGACAGAGCATACTGTCTTGTCTAATCTGTGTGAGGCAGCAAATAAAGTTGAGTTGGGTAAAGAGCATTTGGCTGTCAGTAAAACACAAAAAAACAGAGCTGCAATGAAGTTGAATTTCACTTCCCACGATATATATCCAGTATTTTTTTTTTTAAGTATTCACAAAAGTGTTGAAATGCCAAGTTTTTGTGAAATCAAATAAGAGCAAAATAAATCACTTCAAAACTTTCACCATTCATGTGACCTTTAGTCTGTACAACTTAATTAAAAAAAAAAAAAGAACTTCACATTTAAAGGACACACGGTAATACCCTAAAATGTCCTTTTCAAACCAATAGAGCAGACTTGCTTTGTCTTTTCGGTCATGACTTTGAGAGGCTTTTTTGTGGGTCTACTCATTATAGATAAAGCTATTTATGAAATGCCGCGTTACGAAGTCAAACTAGCTTCACGGGCTGAATTTTTAAATATTAGTGATCAATTTGGTGGGCGAGTCCTCAAACATCGTCTTATGCTGCGCCCACAAAATTTTCAGATATGACGACCAAATTTTGGGTGTCACGGTGGACGAGTGTTTCGCACGTCTGCCTTACAGTGCAGATGTGCAGGGTTCGATTCCGGCTCTGGCCTTTCTGTGTAGAGTTTGCATGTTGTCCCCGTGCCTGCGTGGGTTTTCTTCGGGTACTCTGGTTTCTTCCCACGTTCCAAAAATATGCATGGCAGGCTGATTGAACACTCAAAATTGTCCCTAGGTGTGAGTGTGAATGTTTTTTTGTTGTTTTTTTTTTTTTGGCTGGCAATCGGTTCAGAGTGTGCCTCGCCTACTGCCCAAAGTCAGCACACCCGCAACCCTTGTGAAGATAAGCGGATCAAAAAATGCCTGGATGGATGGATGGATGACTCCCAAATTTCATGCTGCGAAGCGAACACGGCTGATTCTGTTTTGTCTCTCTTTGGCTTTGCATCCCACCGCAGAATGCCGAAATATCTGTCTTCGAGGTGAACATCCGTTTCGTGGGAGGCCTTCTGTCGGCGTACTATCTGTCCGGCAAAGAGGTAAGAAAGTGCTTACGCGGAGGGCTGCCTTGCCAACAGGGAAAACAAAACGCCAAGAGCTTTTGAAAATGATCACCCCAAAAAAGTTTTCCAAACCATCAGCCAGCCGAGTTGAAATCCACATTTTTGTGTGGCCCAGTTAAAATAATTACTCATTCGTTATAAGTTGTTTTTCCAGTTTGGTCCCTTCGACACCACAAATGTTCACGGGTCACTGTGTGTTTTGCAGGTTTAGTCATTAAAAAAAAAACGTTTTAAATATTAAAATCATATAAATATTGATTTACAGTTTGTGTCATGGAGTTCAAATTATAATTCTTTTCTTTGGTTTTATAAAAAAAAAAACGTTTTAAATATTAAAATCATATAAATATTGATTTACAGTTTGTGTCATGGAGTTCAAATTATAATTCTTTTCTTTGGTTTTATATTAATAGTAAATAGAAATAATAACTCAGGATGCAAACTCGCTAATGAATTAGCTCCTTAACAGTTAGGTGAATGATTGACAGACTACTCGTTTGTAAAAATATTCATTTGATATCCCCTCCCCAAATTTTTTGAACATACCGGTACACAAATTCCCTGGGTCAAAATGACCAATGAAACCTTATTGCAGTTCATGAGAAAGTAAGCGACATGACAAGAGGGTGAAACGAATGTGAGCAAATTTGCTCAGTAACAAGGCTCCGAAAATGACATCAGCGGGGTTTTTCCTGTGATGTTTTCTTTTCTTCTCTTCCCGCTTAATGATATGCTTCTGTTCCTAATTAATTATAACTTTGCGCTACAGAATCAATAGTTCCGCAGCCTGCAAATACCCCCCCTCCCTCACGCCACAGAGCTTCTTCAAACCTCGGGGTATGGTGCGGCTGTTCTCAACAGAAAAATAAAAAAGGAGGCTAACTCGCCAGAGAGTTGACTGCAGCCTTGATTGTCGATGTTGTTCTGCCTTTAAGCCGCGTTTTGTGTATTCGGAGAGCGAGTGAGGCCTTGCTTCGTCTTCGCTTTCATTAGCTGCAAGAGTGTGGGGGGGAACAATTTTCAGGCTCAGTGAGACTGCCGGCGCGTGCGTCAAATTTGCGGGCCAGAAAACCAAAATGTGACCACTGTTTTTGTTTCATTTCTACTTCCCCTTTTCTCATGCAGCACCGCACTGCCCTCAGATTGCACATCTCTGCCTCAGAGTGATCTTGGTCTTGAAAAATACATGACAGTGGGGAAAGATTTACGTAACATTTACCAACCCGCTTGATGCGTCTTGTTTCATTCGGTTTCAGTGTTGGGCGACGTTAACACTCTTTTCCCGGTAGCCGTGGCATCGTTTTCTGGCCGCAAAAAGTTGAGAATCATGATACACACGGAAGCAAAAGCAACACGTATTTGAATAATGGGCGCTCATTTGCATGTTTTTGGTACAAGAGACGGAATTAGTTCTTTACAGAAAAAAATATTATTCAACAGTTTTTGCGTGGCACACGTATGCAAACTTAATATTTATTATTTATCACATAACATCACTTTGAGGAAGCAAAAGGAAGACTCCCTTTGACAAATCCATCAGATGTTTGTGAAAGCTGACATAAAACAAAAGAATTAAACCCTTTCAGGGACAGCGGTTACAACAGTGGACAGTTTATCGTGCTCAGTACCAAAATGTTCAACCTAGCCTTCTGCACTAGCTTAATGCTAACATACCGTAGATCAGTTAACAGGATGTGTTTTTATTCTTCCCTCTATATTAACTCTGAGCAGCTACATTTGTACAATTTGGAATTTGACCAAAATGTTTTGTAAGGGGAGGAAAAAAGGCCTCAGTCTACAAAACTGTGGAAAAGGAACTGCCGCCCAAAGTAGAACATATAGCACTTAAGACTAGCGTCACTTTTTTTTTTTTTTAACTTACAAATGAAGAAAACAGTCCGAGTGTTTTATTCTATTCATGGTTATGACAATCTGTATTTCACGTGCGCAGTATGGTGGTGGGGAAAAAACAGATCAGGTCATCCAAACAGATAAAACAACAGTCGGGGAAGCACAGCCTCACCATGTGGATTTTCCCCACACCTTTCCTGCCAATGTTGTTTTGACCAGACAAACTTGAAATTGCTCTCCTGTAATCTGATGAAGAAGGCCACTTGACTTGGAACACAAGTGAAACAACCGAAAGAAGTGGTTTTCCAAGACAATATGTTAAAATCTGACTTTGTACAGCTAATAAACGTTTTAAGACCTTGGGTTTCCCATTTATTTCCTGTGGGGAAACATTGTATTAGAAAGCAGAACAAATTAGAAGTCGGCGAGTGTCTTTTTCGCAGTTTTGTTGTCTTTTTTGCCCGTTTATTCACGCACATACTGAAAGATGAATAAAACACAACGGCTGCGATGTTATTGCCGATGCGGCTTGTAAAAAGCTCTTTGAGCGCACTCGTAAAAATAACACTCATTGTTCACACAGAATCTAATAAGTCCTCAGAAAAGATGTGGGTGTATACAACAAAATCCCGCCCGCTGTAGAGGAAAATGATATTTAGAAGAGGGAAAAAAAAAGTGCTGTGAAGACTTTAAATTTAGACTTCCAACAACAGCATGTGACCCACATCTGCATGTCGACATCGGCGACGAATGATATTAATAATCATCCTCGTGGTTGAAAAGCCAGGCGGCTTGATTGGCATACAAAAACGAGGACAAAAAGCTCTTGACGGGAATCTGTGCAGGTAGCGGATGATTTGAATGCGTAATGGCCTCACGGTGGGAGCAAACTGTGACACTCGTTATCCCTCCTCAGCACTCGCTCATAAACGTTTTTTTTTTTTTTTTTAATGAGTCAATCAATACGCGGCACTCAAAAGGCATCGCACGCCTCCCTTCTTACGAGTCCACGTCCTCGGCGGCGGCTTGATTGGTGGCCTTCTCCTCCGATGAAGGTCACTCGGCAGAGTGGCTCCAAATGGCAGTTAGCATGCGGCTAACGACTCTGACATACTCACAGAAGTAGCAGAAGAATAAAAGTGGCCGGGCAGATTGAAAGTATTCGGAAGGTCACCGTTGTGCCTGAAGTTGGAACTTATAAAATAAGACTTTCAGGACATTAGCTTAGCCTTTTGCTTAGCTTTCATGCTTGCCCCACAGCTACTGTACATACCAGTATTACTCTTAAGACAGGCATATTTAAGGTCCAAAATGTGAATTGGAATCGACAGCCCTCCTGCTAACGTTGTGGCTCATGAAACACACCATTTTTATCCCTATGGCCAAAGACATGGACTTTTTCTTGAATATTTCTTTTACTTAGCTTAGTCATTAGCAGGGCTACAAATAAATGTCTGTTGTCCTGCTAACGTTGGTCTTGTTTCTGCTCTCCTGTCTCAGTCACCACCAAAGATGTTTAGGATCCAAGTAAACAAATGACTCTTATCAGAGATCTCTACTTTGTTAGCGTAGCCATTAGCAGGCTTGGTCTGACACATGCTGCTAAGGTTTCGGCTTGTTTTTCATCTGATGAAAAAAAAAAGTATTTTCCAAAACCTAAAAGACTAAAAGTCGATCCCTTCACCCATTTTTTAGGCCAATTATTGGGATTGTCTGGCGATCTGGACATTAAGCAGAACAAGGATGACTGTAGCTTCTGTCTTCTTCCAATCCCAATTTTAGATCGCCCCACAAGCTAAGCAACGCTTGCGTGACAGCGCTAACAAGACCATACCGAGGCAATATTTTGCCACCCACTTTGTTTTTTGCACATATTCATCACGCTGTCAAGAAGCGAAAATGCATCAAGGGCCGGAGAGGAAAGATGAGCCCTAAAGTGCACGGAGACAGACAGAAATACCGCCATGTACACAACAGCCACGGCGTGTGGAAAGTACAAATAAGAAGCAATCACCTAAAAACCTTGACGATAGACGGCCCCGCTCTTGGCAAGTGACTGAGATGATGGAGAGAGAGAGGGAGCGACGCGGGAGTGCAGACGTCCTGATAGTCACTGTGATAAAACAGGTTTACAGGAGGGAAGGTAGAAATCAGTGTGGGAAGCGCAGCGACCCAAAAAAAAAAAAATGCTCATAAAATGTGAGTTTATTCCCCCGCAGACGACTGCCATTCAACATTACTTTGGGAAACTACTCAAAAGGAGATATCAGCTTGTTTCGGGGTTCTTTGGAGTGTCACTTTCTTTGTTGGAGAGGGGAAAAAAAAAAAAGAAAATGTTGACATTGACCGTGCAGCCAAAATGGCGGTTGGTCGCGGGAAACAAATGGACTGCGGTGGCATCAAGTTAAGGATGAGGTGAGCACAGGCTCATTTATTAACTCCAGCCGTGTTCAGAAACTATTTACGGGTAACTACGCGTGTTACGACGGTCCGCAACATTTTAACCCTTTCAGGGACAGCGGCTACGACAGGTTACAGGGAAACCTTGAGTGTACATACCACCTCGACTTCAGACTTTCAAAGCCGGCGATAAAATTACTCACCCATTTCATTCATGCCTGGGTTTTCGAGAATTCTTGAAAGTCTTCACAGCACGCTGAAGATCCGTTTTGACCAAATACGATATTTCTTAGATGTCCACAGCCAAAACAGAAATGAGTCTGTTGCTTCTGAATTCAGGTTATGTCATCACTGTCGGAGCGGAATTCTGAAAGGTTTGCCCCCCTAAGTAAGGAAACTGATAAAAAGCAGGACCCATTGTCACATAAAAACGATAACATTTCATATTTTTCATAAAATGCACATTTTGAACCCAAAGAGAGCAGATAGCGGACACAAAAGCCACCCGCTGTGGTGTTGCCGAGCGCGTGGGTCCACCCTACGAGCCGAACCTTCGGACCACCGCCAGCTGAGACACAAACGCATACACACTCAAGGGGAAAGCGCTACAAAGGGGGCCCGATAGATAGCTTCTATCTCCTGTCCTCAGGAAATGCCATTCACTCGCCAGGGGAAATTGGCTTTACTGCCGGGGTGGCAGTGAGGGGAAAAACAGCCTCCTGACG